GGGACTGCCAGTCTGCCCGCCCTTGCTTTGCTGCATTTCACTGGAGAAATGTAGGAGGCTGACATACGTCAAGTTTCTCATGATAAAATAGCCTACAGATTTAAGCAATAACATCCTGTTTGGTCTGTTCTTCTATGAACAAGATTAATAACGTTGCCCTCCCTGTAATGATAACTGGTGTAGGTCTTGGTTCCCCGCTGCAGTTTCTTCCACAGCTGAGCTGGCTGGGCAGCCTTCACCCACCGATGGAGGTTTGCGTAACCGAGCTCTGAAATTTTCTGCCTTTTTTTTTTTTTCTTTTTTACCCAATGTTCGATGAAAAGAAATACCTCGGCAGTGATCAGTTCATGCTCTTCCATTTGAGAGAGCAGTAGAAGACGAAAAAGGAAGAAGACGGTGTTGTTGCCAGATAAATTAATGAAAGCAGAAGTGACCATCAAAGCATCTCCTTGAAATATCGGTAGCCGGTCCAGGAACAGCCTGCTACCAAGTTCATGTCAGTGGGTTGAAGCAGGGAGAGAAGCAGTAAAGGGAGACCTGACTTCACAAGCTTCTCTTCCCCTTGTCCCACAGAGGAGGTGATGGCTCGGTGGCCAGTGAGCACGCTTCGTCTTCTCTAGTATTTTTTGTACACACACTGATTTCTTGTTCACTCTGTTAGCCGAACTGAATTAAGAAAAAAATCAGGTCTGAGAAGCGCTATTTATATGTTTTATGAAGTAAAGGATAAGTTGAAGGTCTCAGAGGAACCTATTTTTGTGAGGGATTCAATTTTATAAATCACTAATGGGGATAATTGCTTTCCTTGGCCCGTATCCTAGCCAAAAGGATGAGTGGAAATCGTGTTCTTTTAGTTTAAAGCTGAAAAACTTTTAAACGCAGCCTTTGAGGCACCTCTGCACAGCACCTCTTGATGGATGCTGAATATTCTAGTTTGTATAGTGAAAATGAACCAATTTATTCTAGTTTTGTTCTGTCTGGTAACTCAAAGCATATTCATCTTTTGCATCCATTCCGCTAGCTACCTCCTATGGATCATAAAATCAGGACTACTCTCCCCATCCCTGCTATAGTTATCCATCAGTCCCGTTGCTAAAGAGCCTTTTAATGTACTAGAATTCATCACTCTATTATAGCGTGCCAAATCATCAAATTTGTTTTTAATGCTTAATGCAGACTGCGTGTATTGGCAGCTTATGGGTCGAAACCACAAAGTGGCGAGACCAGATCCACAGCGTGAGCTCTGCAGTTTGCTGGGACCGAAGGAGAAAACGCTCGTGTACGCGGTGCTTTAGCTTTCGCCTTTGCCTTTCTGTTTTACAGCTCCTGTGTGAGGAGTGGGCGAGCTACGGAGTCTTTTATAAATATCAGCCCATTGACCTGGTGAGGTGAGAGTTCAGCCCTTAACGTCATGTTTCCACGGGGCAGCGCTGAAGCTGTGCACAACGATGCTCGTGCGGGTGTCCCTGCGGGGATGCTGTCCTCGGTGCCACCCCAGGGGACTCCGGAGAATGGAAAGTTCACTGGGGGAAAAGGAGTTTTCTGTGGGTTTAGAAACACGCTGATGTGTCCCACCTAGTGTGAAAGCTTGCAGGGGACATATTTTTAATGAATTTTGTTTGCTCATGGTGAGAGCTGAGACTCTCTGAAGAAAACGAGGTGCTTTTTTAAGAGGATTTGCTCACAGAAGATCCAAAGATACCAATTTACACAGCAGAAACACGGGGGAAAAAATTACTAGTTGCGCTGACTTGCTTTCATGGTGCCTGTATCTCTGGATTAACTCCAAGCATCATGAGAAAGAGAGTCCTCTGAGAAAAAAAATCCCCACAGGTCATCAGATCTTACTTGCTCCATGCTTAATCCAGCTGCGATTCATAATTTTAGCTGTGTTATATTTTAAGAAATAGGAAACATTTCTCTCTCTCATTTCTTTTTTTTAATGTATTTCAGAAAATACTTCGGAGAGAAGATTGGACTATATTTTGCCTGGCTGGGAGTTTATACACAGATGCTTATTCCAGCTTCAATTGTAGGGATTATCGTTTTCCTATATGGCTGTGCAACTGTGGATGAGAATATACCAAGGTAAAATAAATAAACAAACAGATTCTTTTCTTTGAGGCAACTAGAAACTCAAAGTAGAACGTTACCTTTCTCTGTAAGTGTTTGTCACTAATACCTAGGGCGAGCACAGCTGAAAACTGTGGCTCCCAGTTTCTAGGGCTTGCCCTGTGCCACCCGCAGCCCGACACCCCAGTCCGTCTTTGTTGGCCGTGGCTTCCCGAGGTCTCGTTGCCAGCTGGCGCTTGCCGGAGTACAGCGTGCTCCCACCGCTCTCCCTCCTCACGCCCCACACGCTTCGTCTTTTGGAAGCTGTGCTTAAAATGAAGCCACCTCCGCACGGACGGGGGAGCTTGCAGTCCCACCGATTTCTGCTTCCAGTAAGCGATGGAGCGCTACCAAGGGCTGAGAGTGGGCAGCGGAGCTGCAGCACGTTTTTAAGTCGTTAGCATTTATTGTTAATATCACTTGTGGAGTTTGCATTGATGTGCTAAAAATAATTCTTGGCCGGTTGCTCAGGTGGTTTTGGTTTTTTTCTAGCTCAGATCATTATGGTAAAACAAACCAACAAAATACTAATGATAGGTTTTAGTGCTTCCCATCATAAAATGCTGAGGAGGGCATTGTGTGACATAAAGATGAATCAAGAATATACATGGCTAAAATAAGCAATTGTGGTCAGATTAACAAAATCTTGATGTCCTACTATTTTTCATTTTTTAGTAAGTTTTGTATTACAATATTTTTAAAGCCCTATGATTTTGCATTATTTGCCCTACATGCATCATCAGCTGTAGATGAAAATTACATCGTTTGTACAAGCATAAGCACTGAGTAACAAAGCAGATAATGGATATCGAAAAATAGATATTTTTTTTTTGTACATTAAGATTGCTTTGTACTGCTTCCAGCAGTGAAGAAAGTCAAAGGGAGTGTCACTGTTGCTATTTCACAGATGGAGTGCAGAGAAGTTAAATTGGTTGAACTCCAGTCTCTTGATACTCAGCACTTCCCTCGTACTTTATCTATTGCTGTAGCTAGTATTTCAAAACAAGAGTGATTTTTAAAATTTATTTCTTCTAATGTAAGATCCTATAGTGAAAAGCATAGGGCCTTACGCCTCTCATAATGCTCTCTGTTATTCCCTGGAATAGAAGTAGGGCTGGGGATGGAGGGAGACAGCAGCCTTGCCTGAGGGTTTCAGCCCCTACAGTGGTGTAGGTTACGGACAGAGCTGCTCGCTGGGGCAGGAGCTGGGAAGCGCTGTGAGGGTAGCATCTGATGGTCCTACAGACCAGAAACAGATGCTGTGCAGAGGAGAAAAGATCATCGCAGCATGGAAGATGGAGCCATACTGACCGTGCTTTTTCCGTATCTTGTTGCTTCGTTGCAGCATGGAAATGTGTGACCAGAGAAACAATATCACCATGTGTCCCTTATGTGACAGAACATGCAGTTACTGGAAGATGAGCTCTGCTTGTGCGACTGCTCGTGCAAGTCATCTGTTCGATAACCCTGCGACTGTCTTCTTCTCAGTCTTCATGGCTCTCTGGGGTAAGAAGATATATGCCTTCATGTTAAGTTTTTAATTATTTAAAATACAACAGGAAGAAACAGAAGAGATAAAGCAGTATATTTATACCCAGGCAGTTAATTATATGAAGAACTTCTCTTTTTTTTCTTTCTTTTTTTTTCTTTCCCATGAAACTGTCACCCCCAAATTTATATTCTGGACTGAAGGCTAGAATTCAAAAAGTTGCTCAAGATGAATATCAAATGAAATTGTTAAGCATCTGTCATAAAACTGCTGCGTGGTATGTCAAAATTTCATTAACGGGATTGCACAGCTTGCCAAAAAAAAAAAAAAAAAGTATTTGCAGAGCCAGCTTCCACTTTAGAACATTACAGAAGAAATGTATTAATGTACTTTGGGGTTGAGGGGAGGGCTCCGCCGGGAAGTGTAATGGCCTTTAGCGTCTCAGGACAAACCAACATTGATTCTTGAGTGTGCTCCGAGATGCAATTAAGTTTGTCAGCCAGCAGACAATCTGCATGTAGACCATGAAGTGGGAACGGTGGCATTATAGGTATTTTTTGTGATGCTGACTGCCCTTGTACTCTGAGCATGTCACTTAACCTTTCTTGGCACATCTGTAGAACTTGGATCCTGTCATGAAATCTTTGTGAGAGTGTCCTCAGGAATGGTTATTGAGGGCTTTTCTCCTCCCTGCTGGAGGAGGGATGGGGACCTCCTTGCCCGGGCACCCCAACACCAGGCACGGGCGCAGGAGGAGAGGAGCCTCCAGTCATCCTGGCTGGGGGCCAAGAGGGCCTGTGAAGGTAAACGGGAACTGATGGGGTGCAAAACCCATGTTGGTAACTGGGAGCCCTACGCAGAGAGGCTACAGAGAACAGGGAAATGTGCGTTATTCCCCCCAGCTTTGAAGTTTGATAGCCACATACTCCCAGTGTCAGTGAGAGCAGCACAAGATGACGTTTGCCCTTCCTGTACGCCTTGTTGCGAGTTAGCAAATAACCTGTTTTGGATTATATTTAATCCTAAAAACATAGCCCAAGTTTTCATTTGTTCTAGTACGTAGGGAACCGTTTCTACATTACCATTCATCTGAACTCATTTTAGGACAATTCAACATAATTCAATTTAAAGCAGTGTCTTTTTGACCAAGGTCTCCATTTGAGATAACGATGTTTTAGATGCAATGCTAAGAGCTCATTGGAGGATAAGGACAGTCCTGCAGAGGGATTTTGGGAACAACGGGGAGTTGGGAGCACTGCAGGTTCAGGGGGAAAGCTGGGAAGTGGTATGGGGAGGTTGAACTTGACCAGCTTCACAGCAGAGAGGAGTGATCACTATCTTACAGATCATCATCTTGCCATGTAGCATATAGGGAGAAATGTGATATACCCCAAGGCAGGATGCGGTGTCAGAGACTTTAAATAGTCTGATTCTCTCACGTGGAGAGTCAAGTATCGGTTTTGGTCTCCCTCGTTTACCATTATTGTGAACCCCACATGGATCTTGGCACGTAACGCTCTGTTGTCCAAAAAGGGAGGCTGTTTGCCTCCCTTTCCTTAGCAAACAACTGTGGGTCCCTCCAACCGTTTTTTTACATTCTTGGGCAAAGTAAGGCAGATTGGCAGAAGCCAGTTTCTGTGCTCTGTACCAAATCAGGCTTAATATCTGAGATAGTTTTGGAGCGGGATGTGAAATTCCTCAAGTTCTTCAGAGTCAACATAAAATTTTATTGTGGTACCATAGCATATAAAATGAATGGTGTTTCAAAAAGGTCTTTTTGAATTGGGAAAATCGGAACTTTTTCCACATAGTTTTGAATTTGCGTTCTTGCAAATCTCATTTCTAAAGGATTCATCAAAACAATTTTTTAAAAAATTAAATGGGCACTTTGTTTCTTAAGGAAATAGTATCAACAAAAATTGGCCGTCTCTAAATGTAGGAACGCATATAGTCTCCAGTGCCATTTGTGAGCACCTCTGCATGTAATGAGAGGTTTTATTAGGTTCATGTACAGTTGAACAGTTGAGGCAGACCCAAATAACCTGCTCAGGTGACCCAGGGCATCCTTAGCATAGCAAGAAAATTAGCCCAAGTTCAGGGGTATTATTGTGAGCAAACATTTGGCCAGGCTTTCTTTGTATCGTGGTGGTATTGTAACACCCTGGAGAACTCCACTCACACGAGCATTAAAACAGCTATAGCACTGAGCTGGGCCCCGGTCAGAAGTTCAGCATTAGACATGGGCCGTGGCCCAGTGCTGTTTGGTATTAAATAGCATTAAAAATGTCAGAGAACCCAGATAAGATCATCTGGACAGTAACCTTTGGGAATTTTTAAGCTCCATTTATGCTTATGGGCCCAGATGAAATACGAAAATGCAGGTATGCTTGGCAAAGTGGCGGTGCATCACTACCTGACACGTTCGCCAAGGGCTTTTGCAATGAGCTGGCTGTGTTTCAGACAGTCTTTTCATTTTGCATTGTTGTAAGTCAGTGCCACGGAAGGATTTCTAGTAGCACTACAAAACGACGTCCTGGTCATTTTCCGTCTTTCTTGCTCTACGTGGAAGCTGCAGACCCCAGCGCAAGAACTGCCGGTGGTGGGGAGAGGGGAGGCAATTCCAGGACCGTGACACAGACCCTCTTAAGATACAGCTATGGCCATCCTGATTTACGGGAAGCCTATGGCTTGTAAAGGGGCTCAGTTGTAAGTTTTGCACGTAAGGGTTTCGCTTGGAAGGCAAATGAATGTCATGACCCTAGCCTGGTTCCAGTCATGAGGGTGTCCTTTCCTCTCTATTCAACTTTCTTACCCTCTCCCTGCCTCCGATTTTTCTGGATACGAATGTTGCTGAGCACATCTGTTAATACTCACTGCGGGGAAACTCCCCTGGGAACACCATTTCTTGGTAGACTTGGTAGACTTGCCTCTTTCATAATCACTTATGTATTACACAGCAGTGGTGTATTCCCAGCATCTACATACGTCCTCTGAGAACTTGCTCGGTCTCAGAAGCAGGTAGACTGATATAAACCGGGGTCGTTCGTTGGGAGTCAAGAATTGCTTTAATGAGGTTTCTTTTCTGGAAGTCTTCTCCATCAAAAAGCAAATGGCAGTGTTTCTAATGATAAAAGCCCTTAAAGGCTTCCTCTTTAACAGCCTGCCCACCTGCAGCTTTCACACTGGCATGAGTATTTGGGTTTGGGTGTGATGATTAGAGCTAACCATGCTATTACGACCGCTAGACGGATGTAATTAGAACAGTATAAAAATGCTTTATCTTGATAACTTTGAGGGAATAACTATCCCATCAGTACAAGGCTAGTTAAATCATTCATATTTTGTGCAGATAAAACACAGGTTTGTTTGGACTTATGGATGGAATTATATGCAAATGAAGACCAACAATATCATTAGTCACGCATACAAATATTTAAATAAGTTTGGGTGTCTGCCTTTCTTACACCCCTTAAAAAATTGTAGGCATTTTTCTACATGAAGCTGTGGATGTAACAAATGCCCTTTCTTTTAGCTTACCTAGATAAAAAGGTTGGCTCCTAGCACATCAGTATTTCCCAGATAGACGTGACTGTTGAATAAAAGAAGAACAAAAATGAAGTTAACCTGGCCCGGTATACAATACGATATTGCACCTGCTGAGACCTTTTGGAGACGAGAACCTGCAGATGTACAGCAGGCGATGCGAAGCACGGCCAGCGTGCCTCCTAAGACAAATCCCAGAGGCTGACACGATTCTTTTTTTTTTTGGTAACATGTCGAAATAATTGTTAAACTGTTGTTTCAGCTGCCACCTTTATGGAACACTGGAAGAGAAAACAGATGCGTCTCAACTACAGGTGGGACCTGACTGGGTTTGAAGAGGAGGAGGTTTGTCCCTTCAGTTCTGACTCTTTGACTTCCACTGTGGCGTTGCCGATAGCTCCTTGGCCGAGCCCATAGACAGTTGCCTCACGGGGAACTGTTCTTGGGGCGGTTCCGTCATTTAGGAGAAAGGAAAATCCTATGCATGACCTATTTGAGGTTTTTATAGCAAGGGTATGACTAGTACGTCTTGTTGCCATAGAAATGTAATTGTATAGCCTCAAAAACTTTTTTTTTTTTTTTTAAGTGTGTAGTCGGGTCACACCTAGCAGCGTAGGCATGGAATATACAGCTCAGACTTTACTCCTAGGCTGGTGTCAGGGTGCTAACAACTAAGGACCTCATTCATCTCACGCTGCTGTAAATCAGAAATGAATGTATTAGAGTTGATAAAGTTGCAGCACTGTAAAAAAGCACCGAAAAATTCCTGTTAAATTTAACGATGCAGGATCAAGCCCTGACTTGGAAAATACCTAAGAAAATATTGCCAGATATGTGGGCTTGGGGCATTGGGAGGGACACAGTGTGGAGGTGGTTTGTTTGGTGTTTTTTTTTTTTCATTTGCTAAAAAAAAAAAAAAATAGTATCCCTAGCCAGGTTTACACTAAGTGTGCTAAATAGCGTGAAAGGGAGAAGGGCCGAATCTGTGTGAGAAAGGTCTTAAAAGTCAATGAAGTTTTAGAAGGAAAGGAGAGAAAATCCTCGGCCAGCTGAGAAGCTGTATCGCACCTTTTTGGTTTTAATTTTGTCGCTTTACAAAAAAGGAAAACACGTTCCCAGACCACACGGCCGTCCCAGCCCCGGCAGCCTTGCCCCGGACCGCACTGCCGTTCAGAGGCGGCGGCGGTGGGCGGGGCCCGGCCGTTCTCCCATCGTATGTGACGAGCCGTGCTGCGAAAACCCTGCTGCGGGCTCGGAGCTAGGACCTGCCGTTCGTACAGGCGTTCACCGCTTTGTTTGCTGGCCGGCCGGCTTTTTTTTTCTTTTTTCCTTTTTGCTCTTGTTATTATTAAAAGGAGTATGACTGCCCTTGCCACATCACTAGACGTTCTAAATAGATACACAACAAATATTGCTCACGTGAAACAAAAACCTCACCGGCTCTGGGTTTGACACTATGCAGCTTGATGAGCCTGGCACAGTTATTGTTCCTCTCACCCCCAAAATCTTTCTGCTTGCATTATCTCCTCTTGATATGTTTATCTCCTCCATAACGTATTTAGGCGCACTATGCCAGCAGCCCCTATGCCGTGCGCTTTGCTAGATCGTACCTATTTTACTGGGAGAGAATATAGGGATTTATTTCCTGGATACTGTACTGCTCTTTTATTTTTGGTAACCTGTTGTTAGCATACATGAAGGTAGAAAGGATTAACTGTATCTTTCTGACGTCTGTCCCCTTCATGTCTGAGTTCAGAGCTCTACACAGCTAAAACAGCAGCTGTTAATACAGTATATTTTACTCTGTTTTGTATAGTCAACGCTAGGTAATACAGTCATGAGTTTAGCAAAGAATTTAAGTCCCTCCTGTTTCTGATTGGGGTGAAACTTAAGCTCGTATCGTGTTGAAGAGTCAGGGTTTCAAGTGATATACTAAAACCCAAAGCGTCTCATCTTCTGGTGTTTTTAGGGACACCTAGTTCATACAGTACTTGCGGCAATGTTAATAAATGTTGTAGAACACGAGTAGACTGATTTTCTCTGGTCGTGTCTAGCCATCCACTGTACCTGTGCTTGTTTCATGTAATTTTTAAAATATAAATCCAATATGATCTGCAACAGTTCAGTAATCAAATTTTTGTTTTTTTGTTTTTTTTTTTTCGTGGTTTTTTCTGGTTTCCTGAAGGAGGCAGTCAAGGTTTGGAAAACATTTTTTTTTTTTTAATTGCTCCTACCTTTTTTATTACATGTCTACTGATGAATGCCATCTTTTTATCTCCACCTCTTCTTTTTCGAGCATCAGTTTTTCTTTAGATCTCCCACTGATTGCTTTGCCTTTACACCCTCCCCCTCTCCACTTGTTCAGACTTTTTCCAACTCCGTTCTGTTTCCCATCCGATGCATAATTGTGAATTCTGAATCTTTTGTGAATGCGTAATTACCGTGAACTCTGAATCGGTGAATCTTTCTGAATCTTTTGGCTGTCTTTTCCTTCTGAGTGTTTGCGACACCCTCTCCTTCAATGCACACGGGTAATTGGTGGATGCTGTCCAAGACAGGATTAGGGGAAGACCCCAACTGACGATTTTCTGGGATCCCAAAGCCAAGTATTTTGCATACTGACAGCAGATAACTGTTTCCCTCGTGAGCTGAGGATCGCTGAAATGACAGTTACTGACATGCAAAATCTAATTTTTATCAAAAAGATAGGTAATTAAAATCCAAGCGTAATGTCATGCGGTGTGAACCACGCTGTCTGCAGGTTGTGCTCTATACTCTTATGTATTAAATTTAATCTACATAGCATTGCATGTGGCTGGTCTGATAGTGAGCGCAGATCATTCTGCAGTTGCTGCGAATGATATGGGATTTAACATTTTTTTAAATTACAGTCAGCTAGCAAATGACATAAAGGACATACCGAGTGAATTAGAATTCATTTAGAAAACTTGGAAATGATCAGGAAATCGACCTGCAAACGGTTCATATGTAGCTGATACAGAAAATAAATATTTTGCTTTTTATTAAATATGACTTATTTCACAGGATCATCCGAGAGCAGAATATGAAGCTAAAGTTTTAGAAAAATCACTGAGAAAAGAACACAAACATAAAGAGGTATGGTAAAAATATCCATTTGGTTCACTTGTGAAAAACTTTGAAAAAGAAGGTTGTTATAGCAGGCACTGGCCCGAGACTAAGAAATAGGTAAAAAATAGAGTCACTGCGCATTGTGTTTAAATTCCAGATGTCTTCGGTCCTAGCATACATGGGATACTCGGTGTATACCAGTGCACAACACCTGATTAAGTCTAGAAATGTCTTTAATAATCAGATACAGGAGTGTGGCCTAGGGAGGCTAACTGAGCCCGATTGAAGGGGTGTTCCTCTTAGTTTAACAAACCAAGTTTGAGAAAACTGTAAAAAACATCTTATTCTGTGCTAATACAAGTACCTAAAGCCTCTCAGGAGAGGTCCTCTGTCTTGCTAGACTTTTTTTGTAAATAAAAATACTACTAGAGCATTAACGAAGAGTACTAACACCAATTTCCTTGCCGAATTCCAGCTTTGATAACTTCCTGCCTTTTAAAAACATGACTTCCATTTTGTTCCACTGAATAAGGTAGCGCTCACGTCTGCTTTTAACTTGCTCTTTACATCGCCGTGAAAAAGGTGCTGCCAGTCATCCCCAGGGCGCGTGCATCTCGCCAACGGACGGTGCAGTCCCTATGAGCAGCTTCCCCGCCCTTTCGCTGAAGGCTGTGATTCCTTCCCTATTACTGTCTGTCAGCAGCAGACCGATTTGAAAAAGCTCCTTTTCTCCCCCACATACCGGTTTCCACCCTACCAGAGGTTATTCCCCCTTAACTGCAAGAATTCAGCCATTTGTATGACCGTGTTTTTAAGCAGAGAAGTAAATGCTCCGGCATAACCAAAATCTGTCGGCAGAAATTCCTCTTTTGTATCTGTTGCCAGTGGCACAGCAGCGTGGAACCGTGCCCTAAATTGGAATTTTGTGAAAACCCTACGAAAATACAACTGTAATAACCACGTTAATGTTAAATATGCTTTAAGAGACAGCATACATAGATTGGACTGGCATTAAACTGAATGTGTCCGCTTTTGTCACGTGCTTACATTGGGGTACCATTGGGCCCCTCTTAAAAGATGCTACAAAGCTGACGGTGGCACGTTGCCGTTAATCTCTAGGATGCCGCGTGTAAGCGGTTACGGGTCCAGCGTCATGTGCAATACCTTACCCGCCGCACTGCTTTAAAATCCCGTGCAGAAGAAAAAGAATTGGGGTTGCTGCCCTCTTATTGGCTGGATAAACAATGTTGGAATACAGACTTAGTTGCGTTCTGCTAAAAACCTGCGACTCGCTGTACTTTTGAGTAGAGAGGTGGTGGGTGCCCCATCCCTGGAAACGTTCCAGGTCAGGTTGGACGGGGCTCTGAGCAACCTGATCTAGTTGAAGATGTCCCTGCCCACGGCAGGGGGGTTGGACTAGATGACCTTTAGAGGTCCCTTCCGACCCAAACTATTCTATGATTCTATGATACTGGGAATTCAGATCTTAAATGTGGAAAACTGTAGGGTAATCGGACAATTAATGAATGGTGGCCTCCAAATATTGGAGTATGAAAGCTGAGCAATTAAGAGAGGATTTTTATTTTAACCAGACTATTTATAACTTTTTGGGCTGTGTTCAATTTGGATGTTACTAATTTGGGAAACGTGAGAAAAGGAGTTTTTTCTGAAAGACTTGGTAATTATCTTTCATTGGGATCTGGAGTGTTAAAGTTCAAATTCAACAGTTGTAAGACAACTTGGAAATCTTCTTAAAGAAAAAAATATCTAAAGCTGAACCAGAAATTGCTCATATATTTTCAAGAGAAGTCCAATTAAAAAAAAAATATTTTTTTAAAGGCAAAACTTTCTGGACAGTCTTTATACATCATAAAGGAAAAAGAAGGGCACAATCCTGAATTAAAAAGGGAATATCCTTTGCAGGATTGCTTGATCTACCCCAGCATTTGGGGCGAGAGTTGGTCTTTTGTTGTTGTTATGTTTTATTAACCTAAAGCTGAAACACAAAGCCTTAAGCAAACTAATAGAGCATTCACTTGTGGCTAAACTGCTATGTACACTGAGTCAGTAGAGAGCATATAGATTAATTGAGCAGCGCTTTGTAATGCTGTATTGCCCGATCCTTTTTTTGTTTCCTTTGACTGCCATCAGAAGCATCGGTATTTTCCAGAAGAGACAGCAAACAAATGGAGACAAAGAGTTAAGACAGTCATGGCTGGGGTGAAATTGGTTCTTTTTATTCAAACTTATGAAGAAACTCAAATTATGAGTAATTATGGAAGACACAAATCAATTTGTTTTTGGCTGTTGAACCTTTGTTTAATATTCACGTGCAGTTCTGGGTTTCTTCCCCCTCCTCCCCTTGTTTCTTCAGCACCCTATGGGACACTGTTTCTGTGCATTGGGAATGGCACTGCATGGCTAATCTTAGATTTACCATCCTGGACTGATGTTACGTTTTGCAGTGGAGCATGGGCCATGTGTTGAAAGAGTTGCTTGCACTTCCCTGAGACGACGTGCATGTAATGAAAATAGAATTTGAGTAATATTTTTATGTTCATTATAACGTGTGCATCATCTTCCGTAACGTTCCTTTTGTTGTTTCTTTTCTGGTGTTTAGAAACAATTCCCGGCATCAAAGTTTATGAAAGACTCTAGATGAGCAATACTGTTCTAAATGCAATTTTCATACCCGAATTCAGGCAGTGGCTGGTTGACTCCTATAAGGAGTTATTACACGTGCGCATCTTAACTCCTATTGGCGTGGTCCATTGAATACCACGTGGATAGTCAGGTAGTTAAAAATCACTCATATTGAAGGAATTTCCAGTCTTATCACACGCTAAAACAAGATCTTCCCTGTCAACTGTGCGTTCATCTTGGAGTTACTCAGTAGCATACTTCATCTGTAGTTCAGTGGAACCAGTTGTGCAACTGCAAAGCTGCAAATATTAACTGGGGAGGGAGAGGGGAGGAAGGAGAATTTTTCTAGGGAAAGCAAAAGAAAATATTTAGCAGTAGGAGAGATTTTACTTCATGGTTTTTGACAGACTATTTGCATGTTTCCTTCAAAAAGTATACAGAAAAATCTGGTTTATTTATACTCGCAGCGCAGGCGCTTGACCAATTTGAACCTAGATACAGAGTAAACAATTTGCCTGTGTGGAATTGTAACTGTAAACACTGTGTCTTTGCATCTTCTAACTGGTTGTGTATTTGCTAGCCTTTTTTTCCCCCCTCTCTCTTTTTGTCACGTGTGCAAAATCACACGCTCCATCTTTATTAAATGTACCCTTTTTTCCCCTCCAAATTTTAGACAGATAAAGAAAAGCTGACATGGAAGGATCGTTTTCCAGCCTATTTAACCAATTTTGTTGGCATTATCTTCATGGTAAGCATCACCCGGCAAAACCTGAAATTTATGTTACCGAGTCATTGTATAGAACAGAAGTGATGGAAATGTTAGTGAAACCGTGACGGACTGTATCAGATTGATGTGGTTCGCAGTGGCTTTTCCCCAGTGAAAAAATTCAAACGCTTTATTGCTTTAGAACCTAAAATCTTTTCAAGAGCTTGAATTTCTATGTTGGCGTCTCTTTCCAGTAAAGAAAAAGAATACCTAAATAGGGTAGGGGAAAAATGGGGGCACGGAAATGGAAATTGCCACCACCGCTGATGGGGCGAAACTTAAAAAGTAGAGAAAGTCCTCTCAGAAAGTAGTCACGAAGTAGAGAACGGCCTCATTTTTATACCAAACTTTTTTGAAAGACATGATGTGGCCAATTGCAATCCTGATTGCAAAGATTTTTAATAAATCAGTCAAATTTGGGGTTATACCCCAACAGGAGAATTGCAAACGGAGCGCTTAATTCAAGAAAAAGGTAAAATAATGATGAGAACAGCCTTTTCCCATTTGCTGATAAAGCATCAGCGTTTAAAACAAATTTTGAAGGAAATAATAATAATTCAAGACATGGGGCAGATTGGCAGATGGATAAAAAAGCTTAAGCCCTTTCCAAAGGTCGAATATGCCAGACTATTCTAATAAAAACCAAATAATTTGTTTTTTTGGGATAGGGATTCTGTTTTGGGGCTGTTTCTTTTAATATTTGTGTTTTCAGGGAACGGAAATGCAGTAAATCTAATCTTCTCAGCTGAAGAATCAGTACCTTAGAAGAATCACATTTTTAAATTATTCCTCTATTTAAGCAATGAAAAATTAAGTAAGACTTTGTGCACCTTGATGTTGCCAGGAAGTGCGTTGATTTAATCAGTTTTAATTTCAGTTTAGGATTATGACAGCATAACAAGCCTGAGTAGGGGATTTGAAAGCTTGTGTGCAGACTTAAGCTGAAATACTCCTCTCTGCTTCAACGCTGCCTTTCTTTTATAATAAAGCAAATACCACGTACATACGCTGTTGCTGTTAGGGCTGAGAGGAAACCCACTAATATATTTCAAATCAGCAAGTAGTTCACATTTAGGTGCCTTTAAAAAAAAGCCTTTTGCATGTGATTGTGGCATCATTATATCAGTTTTTTTCATGTGATGATCAAATTACTAGCAAAAGAGGATATTTTTCCCCACGGTTCATCAAAGTGATTGGGAGCCTTAGTGCAGAATTTGGTGGACTTGGGATGTGGCCCAGAGATCCCATTTTTAAGGTCATTGCTAAGTCCCACACAAAGTATTTACAGTTAAATCTTTCGTAAGAGGCTGTGCTATTCTTGCTTGCAGGTTGGGCTGACGTTCGCTATAGTGTTTGGAGTCATCATATACAGGATCTCGACTGCAGCGGCGCTGGCAATCAGTTCAACTCCCTCGGGCCGCTCAAGCGTTAGGGTCACCGTCACTGCCACCGCAGTCATTATCAATTTGGTCGTCATCATCATCCTGGATGAAGTATACGGCTGCATCGCAAGGTGGCTAACTCAGATCGGTACGTTTAAATCCTCAACTGATGTTTGCCAGAGCGATTTTAAATGAGAGGACCCAAATGACTGGCTTTCGTGATTAACTTGAAACTGGTGAGCAAACCCAGGAAATGCAAATGTGCGGCTAAAGGTCTAAGCAGCTACTTCAAAATATCAAAGCACACATGGATTCAGCTTTATTTTTAAAGTTTTTCTTTCAGCAGTGGTAGTACTAGTCACTAATCCAGTTACGAGTGACAGGGATGACGGACACAGCATAAATTCCTATACCTAATCTTGAACGTCACTCTTCCATATCACGCAATTACTCTTTTCATTTTCTGCCATTTTTTATTTGGCGTAAGACATGTCGAGAAATACAAAATAGTGAGTGCAAAATAACACCGTAGAAAAAAAATTTTTGAATCATTTCCAAAAAGCATCAGCGACAAAAGGTCCAGAAATCTTTTCAGGTAAGTTCTTGTCCTTCTGCAAATGATTGTCATGGAGGTTAGCCAGGTGTGGAATGAAATTAGAATTACTGTTGTAACACATCTGAACGGTGGGATCCTCAGCAGATTGACCGCTGACCTCAGTGAGGCCATATTGCTTTTATATATATATATATATTTTGCTATAAATATATACCTCTTTGTTTAAAAGATGACTGATGTTTTCCAATGTCCACATTTATAAGATGTTGAAATGTTCCTTAACGTTTCTTATCCGTGTCACATTGGTTCCAGAGGTGCCAAAAACTGACAAGAATTTCGAAGAGCATACGTCGCTTTCTTCAAGGGCCGGTGAGTAATGCAAAAGGCTGTTCAGGGTTTCAGCTTGGTGCTTATGAGACAGCTGTAGCTGAGCTAAGGCCATAGTTGGACGATAAAGTAAATCTGGTTTAAAAACTCCTCAGTATTGACCCAAAAACTCTGTGGCCTCGTGGGATAAAGCAGGGACCTGGTACTCTGCCGTTTCAAATTTGTTAAAGCCATTTTGTTAAGATAACTTTGTACGTTCAGATGCAATCCCCCATCAGGCTATTTACCGTTGTCTATTTACCACTCTTAACTTTCTATCATAGCAAGTATCATCTCTCTTCTTGCAACCAGCATGAAAACACAAGGCTAAAATAAATACTCCGTGTGGCACGTTCCGGCTAATGCAACAAAGATGAGGATTACCTTAGAGGATTTCTGCCCAGATGTGCCTATAATATTATAGGACACACGACTTGCAGTTTTACTGAGTTGTTCACTCAGTAAACAGGACTTACTCTTTAAAACAAACCCAAAGATAATTATCCACTTTTTCAGGACGAAACATTAGGTGGTCCCGCTCAAAGGCATAGAGTTGGACATAAATGACTTTAGGACTCAAATATAAGAAGTATAAAATATATATGAAGTTTATAATTCTAACCATTGTGCCCTAGATTTGTTGGACGTCCAGGAGACTATGTCTACATTTTCCATTCTTTCCGAATGGAAGAGGTAATTGCGTTTTCCCCTGTCTGTGATCACGCTGGGCGGGAGCACCATCTTCCCCCGCCACAGGGATGCAGCGAATGTTCTGACTGACGTTTCCTCTGCCCACCCTAGTGTGCTCCAGGCGGCTGCCTAATGGAGTTGTGTATCCAGCTCAGTATCATCATGTTGGGCAAGCAGCTGATTCAGAACAATTTATTTGAGATTGGCATCCCGTAAGTAGCGACTTTTGTTTGTTTTTGTTTTAAACACGTGTTATTTACGATGCGTGCAGTACACTGTGTGTATCCACTGCCCCTTGACGTGAACGCGGTTCTTCGGCTACCTGCAAGACTTTTGCAGCAGGCCTGCGTCTGCTGCATTGCAAATACCTGCATCCGCGCCGCAGCTGCATCCAGCAACGCATCCAGCATCTTTGAAAAGTGTTAGGCGATCTATTGCTGTCCTACTGGTTAGCAAGAGGTGTAATGCTGAACGTGTGATTCGATTATAACCGTGTCTCAGTGCCTGTATGTGCTGATCCCTGATACTTTTAGCACAGTGTGGCTCTTGCACAGTTTTTATGAAAATAGGTATGGAGCTTATTGTGTCTGTTAATGTAAAATAACTGAAGAATGGGCATTGTGACCGGAATGGCATGCTAACTGAATCGTTTTCATTTCCCCCAGAAAAATGAAGAAATTTATACGATACATGAAATTAAAGCAACGGCGTTCTTTAGACCATGAAGAGCACATGAAAAAAAAGCAGCGTTATGAAATGGACTATAACCTGGAGCCTTTCGCTGGCCTTACCCCTGAATATATGGAAATGAGTGAGTGAGGTGGAAAGAAGGCATTTTAAACCGTAATTATTCTGAGTAATTGGGGTGGAGAGCTGAGGTTTTTGAACTGTAGATTCGGTGGACAGCGGCTATGAGGCATAACTTAATTATTAAAGCGTATAGTCTCGGACTGTAGCATGTTTCAGCCAACTGCTGGCTGCTTCAGGGATGAATTGTGCTCTCTGCTGTTCGTGAGCCCTTCCTTTAGCACTATATTTTAGAAATTTTCTTTCAAGCCATGTGACATGTCACTGTCAAGTTTCAAATGCAAATGATTAAACGGCATAAACTTGAGATTGTGAGGCACATTTTATCATCAGTTGCACCCTACATTGGAAATAAGTTACTTAATTCGGATTTGACAATTTCCACTGCATATTCTCACACCAGGTTGTTTCTGTTTTCTGAAATCTGGACTAAATCTGAGAGACATATGTGCCTGTAGACCAGGTTGTACTTGACAGATCACATATAATTATTTTTTTTTCAAGTAATGTATTATGTTGAGTGAGTGATATGGAAATTCAGCACTGGATATCAGCTCTACGTTGCTGTGGGTGTACAACTACATTTCGCTTCCTACTTTCAATCTTGGAAAGGCTGAGAACTGTTCGACATAATGCTGTTTGCTACAGTATCAGACATTCCGGAAGGATCTGTCCTAAAAGAGCAACTTTATTTAGTATTTTAAGGAATGACTAGGCAAAAATAGTGGTAAAGGATAATGAAGTATACGAATACCCAAAATTGGCATGCCTAGTAAATGCAAAGGCAAATTAGAGTATCTGATGACCTTGATGTTCAGAGTAGTTGAAACAGATTGAAATTTAATGGTACGAACTACGAGGTTATGCTGTCCGTTCCTAAAAATAAGAGAAGATGCAGTTAGCGAGGTCAGCATTTGGAAGTAACAGAGGAAGAGGAAGATGGGGCTCTAACAGTACCAGGATGGGTATGACATCAATGCGATGTCCTCATCAAACAAAAGCAAGTATGACCCCAGGTTGTAGGAAGCACGTTATTGCCAGTAAAGGCAGAGAATCAGTCGTGTCCTTTTCGAAGCCCGTAAGTTTCTGTTCTTCAGAAGAGAAAGCTTCCAGTGGGATTAGTGAGGGCTAAAAACCTGCCGGGTGGAGCATGGCAAGTTTATGTAGAGCTAACACGGTCGCTGCCGTGATCCCGCTCCTTCAGATCACTCCTGTGCCAGCCTCGCCCACGGCAAAATTGTTCTAGGAGCTTCCCCATCCTTCCGGTTACTTTGCCTTGCCTCAGCAGCCCCGGCTTTTGCGCGAGAGGCAACTGGCCCTCCAATGCCCGAATGGAGCAGCAGTCAGGCAAACTGTGCCTGAGGCAGAAAATGTGGTTTAGTCTCCCAGCGAGTGTCATCTTGTTAGAATTTGGGGGGGTGGCACTGACGAGATGATGCATGCATTCGACACATACTGGCCACAGCCATTGAAACGGTTCCTTTTTCTTTTCAGTTATTCAGTTTGGATTTGTAACTTTGTTTGTTGCATCGTTCCCGCTTGCGCCTTTGTTTGCTTTGTTGAACAACATCATTGAAATCCGTCTAGATGCAAAAAAATTTGTTACTGAGCTGAGGAGACCGGTAGCAGTCAGAGCAAAGGATATAGGTAAGTGGACATTGCTATTGTTATCCCTGTTTGTTTATTCCTGGATTGATGGCAGGATATTATTATGCTGAGTTAGTTTCATTAACAGGAAGACATTTATAGGAAAATTCAAAACATTAGACTGTGGCTTAACTGTGAACTGTCATAACATATCGAGGCTTTACTTTTAAAATAGAAGGACTGGAGCTTTACATTCAGATTAATATTTTACTAAGTAAACAGTATCATTTTTCAAATCAAAATGATCAATACAATAGTGAAATATCTTGCGTGGTTCTGCGCGTCAACGGTTCTTCCTGGCAATGCAGTTTTCTTGCAGAAGCAAAAATTTCTGCATTTAGTAACTCTGGACTGGGCTGGAGAAATACACTTGGGAATGAGAGGAGACTCAAAAGTCCGTGGGTAAATGTATCCCTTTGTCCCTACTCAGCATGAATGACGGAAGGGTGGAGCTTGAAAGCTGCAGTGAATCTAGCTGGAACTGGGCTCTGCGGTTGTACGGTGACAACAGACCGGTCCTCCCCTTGCTGCGGGGGGCCAACAGCTATATGTATATGGAATGAGGAAGCTATTTCTCCCAAATGTTGGTTACTTACGAGTAAAAAGGTCATTAAAATAATTGTTCGTATTACAGAGCCAGTCAGCAAGAGCAGAGAAGTTTATGATCTGTTACCACACTCGGTGTTCGTTCTGGTATTGTGCAAGCAGAGTTCTTCCTTGGCCTCATCCTCGTGCCCCAGGATCATCCTAGAGTTGAAGAACACATCTTGTTTTGTCATGCTGTTGCCTTTACCACGACATAGCTTTCGGGGTGTTTTGTGGCTGGCTCATTTGATGCTGCGGGCTAAGGTTGCTGGTGGAGATGTTGGAGCGGCTGTTGTTAGTTTTTTGGTTGTGGTGGGTTTTTTGAGGTTTTTTTTTGCTTTTGGGAGGGTGTTAATTGCAATTTATTGCAATTCAATCCCACTTTTGTGGGTGGAAGAACCCCGCTCCTTTCAGAGACGTGCTGAAGTCAGAGACCGTGAGATGGCCACAGACAAACCAGACAAGTTTTTAGGGCAGGCGTCAGCAGAATCAGGAAAGGGAGAAGGTCCCACCTGCTAAAGGCAGTGGGTAACGACTGGCAGCAGACAGGGGTCTCTCTCTGCTTCCCCTGATACTGTCATATCTTTTCCTGAAGTTCAATTCTGTACTCTGTCCAGGCTGGCTTGTGTATGCTGTGCCGGAAGACCAAAGCTATATGAAGTATGAGTTAGCTACCGAGCAAAGGATTCGGCCAGGCTGGAGGAGTCTTCCAGGGATGTTACCCTGTGTAAAGCCTCCTACAGCTTCCTTCCTCTTCAGACCCAGAATAGGAGAGTGGCTCATCAGGGCTGTAACCACACGGATCTGGTAGCAGCCCTGGATTTTTCCATCAACACTGGATCTTGCAGTTTGAGTACTTCAGCTAAGGAGAAATTTTCAAGCTGTCACTAATGACCAGGAGACTGTTAGAGAGGCCAGGCACAAGGGTGTGTGACCACGTACGCTAAACCAGCTTCATGTAGACTTCAGAGAAGCCCTTCCATGAGGAATGGGATCTGGAGATGGGGAAGGGGCAGAACTGTGGGACTTCATGCATCATCCTCAGACTAAATCCAGAGGGGTTGAACCTGAGTCAGTGTGGGGTTGGTTGGTATTACATTTTGTGTGCACAGAGCCCATGCTGAGGAAACCCCTATCTATACGGTTTCCAGATGCAAATGGAAAAATCCCACGGAGTGGCTCCACTGGAGCTTTGCTTTCTCAAAACTGAGGTAGGATCAATAGTGATGAGAAAGTGTAGAAACAGATTCAGATCCTTAAAACTGGTAGATCAGTACGTTCTGCACCACGTGTGTGGAGGTTCCAGCTCCCTATCTGCAGCTTTCTCATTCTCCTCAAGCATTTGAGAAGTTTGAAGGAAATTTCGTGATGTTTTTCTTTTCTACCTATGCCAGCATTCCTCTGTCTCACGCTTGCCTTCCTCTTCCTCAAAGAAGCTTTTAGCTTAAAACCTCAAAAAAAGGGTGCCTAAACATAGCTTTGGAAGACAGAGTTGGGCTCCCTTCGCTTACAGGTCATAATCTCTTATAATTTATTCTTTTTTTATTTGAAATAAAACTCCAGTTTGGCACAGTCATACGTGTTCCTAACACTTAATTAAAATGTAATTTATCTAATTTTAATGACTGGAACGGCATTTACATGTTTGTCTCCTTCCTTAGGAATCTGGTACAATATCCTCAGAGGTATTGGAAAGCTTGCTGTCATCATAAATGTAAGTAATTCGGCATGAATAAAATTTTAATTCAATAGGCTGGCTTTTCCACTCTGCTCCATTAGTTTTATTTCAGCATAAATCCCTTAAAATCGAGTGAAAGTATATGATTTAGAAATGTTCTGCAATATTAGAGAATTGGATGCAGTGTTTATTTTAAAGTTGTGATAGTAGTAGAAATAATATAAAATAGTAAGTGGTCGTTGCAGCTTTTTTCCAGAATGTTTTCATAAAACAGTTTTGCCCTTCAAACAAATAAGATCACAGCTGCTTACTTTTGCTCTTTTGAAATACTATCACTAAGATGATGTACTTTTAATTTCAATGCTAAAACCTATGTGGGGTCCGGTAGTCAACTGAGTGTGAATTAGTTCAGCTCATCAGAGCGCAGTGTCCCTCCATTGAAAATCTGGCCTCGAACTGCATTGCTCTCACTCAGCTAGCTCTGAAAAGCCATGGAAATATTTTTGTTTACTTCAACAGTGAACATCCCAGCCCTTAGAAAATTTTAGCACGCCTTAATATATTCATTTATGTACTGCTCTAATATTCTACATGAATAGACATCCACAACGATCATCCTCACTGCACCCCACCTGGGGAAAGAGGAAACAAAAAGCCAAATGATGAGCTGAAAACATGTTTGCAACGCAGCAAAACAGGGGCCATGTAGGGCTTACGGCCAGGCGTCCCTGGGCCCTCTCGGGTCTTTCGCCATTATCCAGACTGGAAATCCCTTCGTTTTGCCCACAGGTGTCTGTTGTGCTATGCCCAAACCGGTCTTTTGGTTATTTGGTACGCTGCTTTAATTTGTCTTTACCATTTCTCCTCTTTTCCTCTGGAAATAATTTCTCTATTTTTTTCTTTTTTCTTCCGTGTAGTCTCTCTTCGTCATTATCAGTGTTATTTTTTCCCTCTTTGATCTATGTACTACCCCTCTTTATCATAAAATAACTAAAACATTTTGCACTGTGTTTGTTCCACATGTACATGAGATTTATGCCAGTGAGAATATTTCACAATAATGATAAATGAGAAAGGCTGAAGTCATGAAGAGCTCGGCCGAATTGGCTGTCTTGCATTTTCTGTATGACGTTTTTAGAAAACCTTTTAAAATAACCAAACAAAACGCAATTTTTGTGATCGTAAAAATAAACCTGGGCTCACTCAGTCTGCTCATCCTTTTATTTTGATGGAGTTAAAAACCACATGCAATTAATGGCCTTTTGCAGTGCAATGAGAATTGAAAGAGTCAATTCACTGTCAGTTGTTTGCAGAACAGAAAAGAACTTGGAAATCCATCAGTTGGACCTTATACAATGCATGAGGGACAAGCTGTGACTGGGGGACGGGAAACAGCGCCGTGTTTTGCTTTCCTCTGGTGCTGGGGGGTACGGCCGCTTCATCCTCTGGGGAGGTCAAGTTGTTATCCACATAGAAATCTCAGTCGGCGTGGAACTACTCCATCTAATATTCTGCAACTCGGGAGAGTAAGCAGTAAATACGACCTTGTTGCAGCAGTGAATACTCCGTTTTTCGGGCCCCGTGGGCTGCAGTCTCCCCCCTTGTTTTCCGAAGCAGCCCCTGAGTTGCGCGAGTTTTGGGCGAGACATACTCGAGTATATTATTAACTTAACCACTGCCTGAATATTGCCCTCACTCTTTGCTCTTATGGCTTAGGCATTTGTGATCTCATTCACATCCGACTTCATTCCACGCCTCGTGTACCTGTATATGTACAGTGAGAATGGCACCATGCATGGCTTCGTGAACCATACACTATCCTCTTTTAATGTCAGCGATTTTCAAGCAGGAACAGCTCCAAACGACCCCATGGATCTTGGCTACGAGGTTCAGATATGCAGGTACTCTCTTGAACGATAACTAATTTTAAGTATTTTCACAGCTGACTAAGAATGGGACAAATTTTTACATTCCTGGGGCAGGTCCCTTGTCTGTTCAGTACCTTTTTAGCACCTTGGTAGCCTTTTGTATCGGATGGATCCGTTGCCTTGAACGTCTTGGCTTATTAAGCATCCACAAAACCTGAATATGAAGTACTGCTTATTTTGGGAAATAGAGATTAGCGTTGTTAAATTCGGTGTTTGTCCGTGCAAAGATTTTTATTATTATGCATTCCCTTTTTCAGGAGAGGAGATAAATAATGATAAACAGCACAGTGATGCTTTAAGGGGACAAAATGATGTTACTCTGATGTCATATTGTTGTATCACATGCTATTGATGTAATGACCGTGACTTCACAGCACAGCTCTCTTTTTTTGGCCAGTTTCTATAGCAATTCCTGATGAGAGTAATAGCACCCTTATCTGCACTGGAACTTAAGACCTACTTAAAGTGTCATCATACAGGAAATCTGCAACAATTTCTACGTATTCTTTTCATTTTTAAAGGAAAATTATTGTTGCATATTTCAGCTTATGAAGCAATCTAGGCCAGTGCTGAAATGCATGCTTTGCCTAGGCTTCCTTAGATACGCATCATCTTCAAAACGAATGTTTTAACGCTTAGAACTGGGGACAAAAGCCAAATATCACAGTGAAAGCACTTAGACCAGCAAAACTGAACGGGGGACAGTGGGGGGAAGAGGAGGAAGAGGAGAACAAGGAGGAAAGAGACATTCCAGGGGAGAAAAAAAAGATGACTTTGGTATACGTATACTAAAAAATTGCACAAACCGACCAGGAAAAAAACCCACCTTTATAATCGTCTTATTTTTTAATTTGTATTCTTTATAAATTTGAATAGTACAAGTTAATCTGCTGAAATGACTGCTAAACAGAAAAATCACTCTGAGATGAAAGAGAAAACCGACCAAAACTGCATATGTATTAGCTTTGCTTGCTTTTACTTTCTCCTGGTTTCCTTCTGGTGATCCTTGGGCACAGGATAAATGAAGTTGGCAAGCATGTTTTTCGCACAGAACTTACAGAACGGAAATGTTAAGTGTCATGGTCCAATATAAAAATGCCACGTTTATTTGCTTTCGAGTCACAGCCTCTGTCTTCTTCCCATCCCATCCCATAATTTCTTCCGTATTCCGGGGATTTTTAAATCATTTGAAAATATGGAACCCTAATTCTTTCAAAATATTGACAGGATGCTGTGGTTTTAAATTTAATGTATTTTTCTCGGTCCCATTTCTAACAAGTTCTTGTTGATCAGCTCATAGATTTTTTTTTTTTTTTTTTGGTAAGCCATAGCTAAGGCAAAATTCTCATCTTCCCTCTACACGGCAAAATTTAGCTGCGTCCTTTTGCTAATCATGAACAAGGAGAACACCACGTAGCATAACACACTCTATGGATCCAAGATCAGTATTTTTGTCAGTAAAATTAGTCTGAAAAATATATGGTGGGGGTTTTTTTTACCAATTTTAAAAGAAAATAAATTATCCGAGCTGTGTAGTTTACTCCATCTTTATGCAGAATTGGTGTTATTTGTACTAACTGGAGGGTGTTAAGATTGAAGACCTTTAATTTTGAGCAAAACTTGAAGGCTGTGGGAGGCTTTCAGCTGTGTCTTGTTTCTGAGAGGTTAATACAGCGTCATGCTGTAATGGTGAACTTGCTTTTAGACGGTTCAATTCACTGTTCAACTGTTGGGTATTAATACCTCATGGTGCTAAAATTTCTGAATGACGTCACTGATTTACTGAGTTTTGTTTTGCAGATACAAAGATTATCGAGAACCCCCCTGGTCCGAAAACAAGTATGACATTTCAAAGGATTTCTGGGCTGTCCTAGCAGCAAGATTAGCATTTGTGATAGTTTTCCAGGTAGGTTATACTGCAGGCACTTTTTATATAAGAAAGAAAAAGAGTTCCCGTATTTCTTTAGCTACATAAGGCAAGCCACCTTTGGAAATAAGTTATTAGGCCAAAGAAGATACCTTCTTTCTCAGCTGTTTCATGGAAAAGCAAAGAAATTTGCCCATCCTCATTCACCCTCTTCCTCCCGCCCACCCAGGCCCAGGTATATCCCCAGTGGAAAAATTCATCCCCAGGGATTCCCTGAACTGGTTTTAATGACCTTAGCGAGCAGCAAAGCACAAGGCTGATACTAATTAGGTCCCACCAATTTCTCCAGTAGGACATCAACAAATTCACTGAAGTGGCATAAATTTCATCCAAACTCATTTCTAGACCTAGCCAAGAAATGAAATTTCCAGAATTTCCCAGTTAATCTCCCATCTGAACAAGAAGGCAAAAGCTTGTAATTTTTCACTGAATGACATTATTCAATCACAACAGTGATGCTGGTTATTGTGTCACGAGTGGTTTAAGTCTGCCTTATCTAAACAACTTGTTTCAAAACTTACTCCCTTTTTTTTGGACAAAATCTGTATCTTTTTGTGAAAGACCTCCCTTTCCTTGAATCAAGGTTTTTAAATCAGAAACATTTCATTGGAATGTATTTTACCAACTTTCATCATTTTACCTCTTGCTATTTGCTTCTGCCTTTCTGATGTAAAACTCGTAAGCCATTTATCAATGACGGTATTTCCTTTGGATTTAGAATCATAGAATCATAGAGTCATTAAGGTTGGAAGAGACCTCAAAGATCATCGAGTCCAACCGTCGACCCAACACCCCCATGCCCACTAAACCATGTCCCTAAGCACCTCATCTACCCGTCTTTTAAATACTTCCAGGGATGGTGACTCAACCCCTTCCCTGGGCAGCCTGTTCCAATGTTTAACCACTCTTTCAGGAAAGAAATTTTTCCTCACATCCAATCTAAACCTCCCCTGGCGCAACTTGAGGCCGTTTCCTCTCGTCCTTTCGCCAGTTACTTGGGAGAAGAGACCAACACCCACCTCGCTACAGCCTCCTTTCAGGTAGTTGTAGAGAGCGATGAGGTCTCCCCTCAGCCTCCTTTTCTCCAGGCTAAACAACCCCAGCTCCCTCAGCCGCTCCTCATAAGACTAATAAGATTTCTAAGTGGCTGTGACGGTATTTGTACATAAATCATAGAGATCTGTGCCTGCCATTTTTCTCTACTTCCAGCGTGAACAAGAAGTTGAGGTAAGTTTGGCTCAGTATCGGACTTGCGACTTGCAGTTGAGCCCAACTCAAATATTGTCCTTTCTTCATTCTTCCTTCCTAAGAACACCAAAAATGGCCCCCTCCCCTGCAGTCATCCTTTCATTTGACCTTGCTGACATTTTCTCACAATTTCATTTTCAGAACTTGGTCATGTTTATGAGTGACTTTGTTGACTGGATTATCCCAGACATTCCCAAGGACATTAGTCAGCAGATTCATAAAGAGAAAGTTCTCATGGTGGAGGTCTTCATGAGAGAAGAGCAAGGGAAGCTGCAAATGCTGGAAACCTGGAAAGACAAGGACAAGAAAAAAGGTGAAAACTGTAACAATCACAGCCCCAGACTCTCCAGGAGCCACAGTGGGAGCTTGTCCTCCTGCCATTCGTACCCTCTTGATGTATAGAAGAGGAGGGAGTTGGGTATGTCGGGGCATTCCACTGATACGCAAGCCATCGCGTAAAGGGCAGGACTCGATTAATGGACAACCTGGTGCGTGTTGAAGGATGTGCTGCCATTTTGCTCCCATCTTTGTGAGAAACGCCCTTCTTACAAATATGGAGGACCACGTTCTATTTCTGATAATGTGTTTTTTTTTCTTTTGCACAAGCAGTAATGCAGGGAATTTTTATATTTCATCGATAGATAACACTATTGACGGTGTGCATTAATAAATGCAGGTACTTAGTACGTCTTGGTAGAGATATTCTCTGAGAATTTGACCTTAGCCTATTAATGAACTAACTAACTAAAGGTAAATTTTAAGTAATAATAATACTACTAATTTAAAATATTTTTGGAACCCCAGGCTTGAAGGTCCGTGGGGTAACTAGATAACGTATATGCAAAATCAGCTGTAGAGTGTGCCCTGGTATTCCTTTCGGCAGGAGAGAAACCACGTGAAGCCTGCCAGACTGACCTGCTTTCCAAGATAGGGTTTAGCTCTGCTGGCAGACATCTGTGTTTGAACCTGCAGGTCTGAAACAAGCAGAGCTCCCGCTGAGCTTTGGAGTCAGACAGGTGCGTGGGGCACTTGCGGCAATCTGCTGTGTACCCGAGACCTTCACCGGGGCACTGCTCTCTTCAGAAACATCAGAAAAGTGAATCTGGAAAAGTTCTTTTTTACCAACGAACGACTGATGTGGATGAAGCTACCTCAGTGCCCCAGGCTGCTTCAGCTGTGTTTGCGCAGTCCCCCAGCGGCTCCTTGCTCATGGCCAGGCAGCAGCAGCACAATTTCGGAGATCCTCCCAGCAGGTAGATGATCACAGAGCATTTTGTTAAATGCCCTGAATTAACGAGCACACGTAGAGCTCCAGTGACTCACACTGCCCTGCCTAGTACTCGGACACTGTTGTTGCTGAGGAAATTCCCTTTTTCCCGTTGTTTTAGCACATCCCTTTCTTAGCCAGGTTTTTCTCTGTAGCCCTCTATCCTCTGCAGGAGAAAGGAGTCCGCACCCGTTTTTCACAGCCAGTTGCTCCCGCAGACTTTCTGCTGTTGGATGGCAGTTCCCAGAGGCTGTGCCGGAGGAGTAAATCCAAAACATGTCCCGCTTACTGTCTTCAGTGGAAGTTTTGCCTGCACTGGGGCTACAGGACCAGACCTTCAGTTAGTTACAGGACTTCTCTTTTGTCTTAAAATACTCTATCTTTTATACAAGGAGCTTCCTTAAAATATAAGTCTAAAATCCTTACTTACGAAGCCTAGCTAAATCCCATCAGTACGACTCTTTTTAAGCGTAGTACATTTTAGTTTTGCTTTGTCAAACGATAAACTGCACTTCCAAATAATATTGGTGCAATTAACCTCATTTCTTTTATTGCTTTGTCTTGTCCATGGCACTTGCATTACAAATATAAAACTGAAAAATAAAATAAAAATGAAAGATTTCTTTAAAGTCTAACTACTGTATGGTTTGTTACAAAACCAAACATCAAAAGACTGTTTTCAAGAGAGGTTAGTTATTTCTTTTTTCCTTTTCTTTTTTCTTTGCCAAACTAATTTAAAGATTAATGCTAGAACTTAAAAAAAAATGCCATATTTAGCTTTTTATATATTTATTTGTTTTAAAGTATGTGGTAAACTTGATATTTTTCTGTAGTCTGTCCAAAGAAGGTACCAGAAAAGAAATTATGTGGAAGAAAAAAAAAAGATATTAACCATATTCTTGAAGCTTATTTAAAATATTGATCCAACCAAAGATTTTTATTAATAAAGGGCTTATATTTTGTTAACTCTTGTTTCTGTTGTATTTTGACTTGCAGGAATGTCACTATTTTTAAAATTTGTAACTTCTGATAGCTTACTACTGTAGGGCCAAATCCTGCCTGATTTATTCACACAATAAGCATTATGCCTGGTAGTTAAGTGTTTACCAGATCAGGCCCACTGACTGCAATAGGACTGTGAGTGGGAATCAATCAAGCAGAATTCTGCCCGTACATCTCGTTGAAAAAGTGTTCTTCCTCTCATTCCTTGGTAGCCCAAAAGATCCAGAAGAAAGCCAAACATGAACTACCTGTTCCGAAGAGAAATCTTAGGGGAACTTCCTCGAAGGGAATTTCATCTGTGAATACTTACCCGAAAGTATTCCCAACTTAATACTGACATTCCTGTAAATGGTAGAACTATATCCTGAACACATACTTAGCAGAATTTTTCATTATTTGCTCAAATCATGAAATAGTAACAGTTGCTTATACTTTCTTTTGTACAGTAAACTGTTTGAAATGGAATTTTGTATATAAAAACTGTATTACTACTTAGATAACTATAAAACTCTTTCATGGAATCATTTTTTAAGAAAAGCAAATATATACTAAATCTGTTTTAGTTCCTTTTTTTTTTTCTTTGAACACTTATTTGAAATAAACTTAAATATGCAAGAGTTTCTCCTGTGGGACAGGTTCTGTTCCCAATCCTCCTTGTGCTCCGAGTGTGCAACTATGAGTACTGTTAGATTTGAGAAACACAGTAATTCGTGTTACAGTTTGCCTAAAACGGGATCTGCGATGCCCTTTCCAGTGCTCCTTGTGTACTCAGACAGCAGAGGCCAGAACTGAGATTTGTCTGCAGGTATTGACCACTTCATTTATAGACATCTTCCTAACAACGTAGAAGGTAAATCTTGTATACTAGCTGCTTTAGATACCCACTTTGAGATTAAATGAATCCCACCTAAAACGCATCTGTTTCCGTGAGCAGAAAGGCAGGTTTGGCTTCCAGCACAGGTGTAGACGGCTGCACCAGAGACACTGAATATTAAGTGACAGATCTTATCCTGGGAGCTTTAATTTTCTTCTGACTTTAGTCTTAGGCATTTAGCAGAACGTAACGTGTAAGAGCTTTCACTAAGACATTTGAAATGGGCTCGTAATGAGGAAGAATGCTATTTGGTTTCTTCATTTAAAGTGAAAAATGTATTCATTATTAAGAAAAGAATGGAACGGTAAAACTAAAGGAATGAAACTCGGGGATTTCTTCGACTGTCTTGCGGAATTCAGCTCTGAAGGGAAGTAGCTGAGGAAGCAGAATGGCTACACTGTGTATGTCACATTTTTACTGCCTTGTGGGACCTGTACAAGCAAAGCTGGGCTCAGAACCTGACTTGCCATTTCCAATTTTTTCTCCTTCTCCCATTTAACTGTTCTGTGAGAAGGCAAAGCATGAGGCTTCGTACCAATTCTCCCTTTCTAGCCAGAAAACGTTAATGCTCGCTCTAATGAAATCTAGTTAGAAGGTAGGAATTCAGTTCTGAGATAATGGATATAAAAACCAGAAGCAGGTAAATCGCCGCCTAGTTGGTAACTGGTTTGGTTTTGTCAGTTCTTAAAGACAAAATAGTAGATACAAGCTCATTAGAGACAAGATAATGCCCTCCAGAAAGAGATGTGCACTGCGGTTGTGGTACTTTTCATGGAAGTGTTTTTTCATATTTGTCACGCAAGTAGAAACAAGTTTTGGTTTTGCCAATAGCAAATTTGAGGCGGGATTATGCTAATAAGGATTCACTAGAAGAGGGGGAAAAAAAAGAAATTTAATACAGAGAAGCAGGGATCTGGAAGTGACCAAGAAGTAACTGAACATACCTCGACGTGACTCACAGCTACCATACGGGCCAGGTTTGACGAAAGATAGCAATATTTCTATTCATTCAAATACAGCTGAATTCTGTATTGATTCGACAGTATCTCCACGATGTGCATTCAACCTGCTCTTGGCATGCTTCTGCCACAAAATTGTAAGTACAAAACCCCATTTCCCAGCCCTGCTTTGATCAAAGGAAAAAAAATAAAAAGCCAAAACCCAATGTATCAATGTATTAAACGGGAAAATCATTATACTGGTTTACTGGTCCAAGAGCAAATGCAGACAATAGTAGGAGAGATTACGGCTGGAAGTGGCTGTGTAGACCATTTTGAATCATTGCTAAAACACGCTGTTTGCTTTTTGCTCCCCAAAGTTTGTGGCGAAGACACAAGTTCAGTTGGTGCATCTGAGGAGGAAATCATACCCACCCTATTGTGTTGACAGTACGAGTCTGAATCTTCTGGATTTCCTTGTCATTGTGTTTCTAAGATACTGTCTTACAAATATTTTGCAGTCTTAAATAGCTTAAGGGTGAATAAGCCTGAAGTCAAGGCACAGACACATTTCTATTTTTAAACCCTTAGTGTTCTCTGGTCCTGAGCTGTTAATGATCTTTTTGGCTGTTGCAATTTCCAATAAGCAATAATAAAACAATTTACTTTTCATCTTGTTACCTCAGGAGTCTGAACTCTCCTGAAGCTTCATAGATCACTTGAGTCTATTTATATTTTCCTGTGAAGTTTTTGGAGTAAACAACTCTTTTTCCTTCTGCCCTGAAGAAACCGTGTCTTAAAATTTATATGGATTCCATTCAAACTCTGCTTCAATTCTTTTCACGTTTGAGTACTATTTATTCCGTGACCAAACACAATATGCCATTTTTAGTACAGCAGAGAAAAACCAAGGTTCTTTTTTTAACCTCCTCCTTTTTTTAGCCCAACAGGCCTTTCTGAAGAAGAAACTAACTATTAATGTGGCTTCTTTTTAATTTTAAGCTCTTTCCTTAATTTTTAATACCATGCATGCCGCCTGATTTGAGGCCATCTGAAGCCAAAGAAAATATTTCCTTTCAGTCCCTTTGACAGCAGCGCACTTTGCATGAGATTAAGCATTGCTTATTGAATGATTGGTTCCACTTACAATAAAAATTCATGACACTTACTCTATGGTACTTTCAGAACCCAGAATGTCAGCTAGAGCCAAAATATATTGATGCAGATGAGTTGTGCAAGCAGTAGAGTTCTGCACACTGTTGAGTTAGTTTCCACGAGGTAAAGGTCTCAGAAAATCAAAGGCATGACAGAGTCACGTGAACTTAGTTACACAAGTTTGAAGGTTTTGAGGTCATAGCTTTCATCCTGCTTAGTACCACCTGTGTGAGAAAATTCATGCCAAAATGGGAAATGCATCCATCACAATGCTCATGAGAAAAAGAATCAAAACACAAAATATTTAGCAGGGTGCTTGTGCTGAACAAACTTAAAAGCATAACCAAGTCCGTTTTTCAGAGCAAGAGTCAAATGCGGGTAGTTAATCAATCTTTCTTAGAGCAGAAGAAAAGGTTATTCCCTATTTTTATTTCTAAATTAAAAAAGAGTGGCCATCTTCTCCAGTTCAAATATATGAGATGGAGTATAGGGAAAAGGTGCAAATAGGGAAGGGAGGAAGAGAAGGCTTTTGATTGATGTTCTCGGATCCAAGTTAGCTGGCAGATTGGCCACAGAAGTTGTTTTTCTGGAAAGAGAATCACATCCTAAGGCAAGACCATCTTGTAGGTAGGTTATCAGGTAGCTTTGCCAATGTTTTTGTAGTGAGGTGCAATCTCATCCTGCCAAGCGGTACAATACTGTTGATCTCGTGTTCAGATGAAAGCTGGAAGGCTTTAGTCCTTTGGAAGGAAATGGATGAAAACAGAGTAAGTAAAGGGAAGACCTCTCCAGCATCAGTGAGGCCTTGGTGACTATGCGTTCTCCACTGATGTACTGAATTGCAAATAATACCATGATCCTCGGCAACTGAAAATAAACAGTTCCTCTAGGAACACACTTATTTTTAACGTTCATCAGAACGATTTATAAACTCTCACACAGCTTCCAACGTTGAAGTCAGGTCCCAGTTGGTACAAGCCCTTTGGTTCTGTAGCAGGTAAGTGTCTCAAGCCCCAAAGATGATGTGCAGTGGCTGATCTGATTGTGCTGCCTGCTTTGAACCGAGACGGCAGCGTTGCGTCATTGCGGCACGGTGCTCACAAGGATGGAATTCCCATCTGCCTTGGTAGGAGCACGTAATTAGATGAGCAGCTCACATTTCTTAATGCATTAATCTTCAAAATACATCTGTAGGTAAAGAAGGTAGGTAATTACAAGTAATTAGCCATCAAGTGGGAAAGTAATAAATCTTAGCAGGCTAGACTACTCCAGGTTTACTGCACGACCTCTCAGGTCAGCAAGAGAGGGTGTGCATAATGAAACGGCTCTGCAATCTGGTAGATTCTGGGCCACACTCCTAGAGTTATTTAGGTATTTTACTCTACTCAGGCACTGGTGGGAGCGGGAGGGAGTTGGGAGCAGGGAAGGAACAGTGAAAGTCCTGAGAGTAAATTAACGTGAATTTCAGCTACATCTTCCTCCTGGCTGCAAAGAGTGAAAGAAGTAAAACCGAGAGTCAGTTCTGAAATTCTACTGAACCTCTTCACTTTTGTCTTTTTGAATTTTACTTCTGAAACCAAATTTCTCTGCATCTTTATGATGCTTGTCTTTTAGCTGTGACCAAAGAGAACTGTAGAGCTAAGCTGGTAATCATCTCTGGGTCTTCTTGTGGATAAGAAATGACAGTTAATCACTTCCAGGTTCAGGTACTCGGCAAAGATGTAATGCAGGCTACTTCTGCTTTAAAAAGCCTCACTTCCTAATTGCTGAATAACAGCAAAGCCGTATGTTTATATGTATATTTGAGAGACAAGAGAGGGTGAGCTTGGGTCTGATCTTATGTTGCAAGTCGTT